CAGTGCATGCATGTCTCTATCTTTTTCATAATTTTTTCTTGTGGGATAAAAAGGAGTTTAAACATAAAGTTCTGGAAGATAGTGTCTAGAGAGAGCCAATCCTCTCAACTCAATCTTTGTGCCATCTTCCTGGCAGAGTGATCCTCTGTTTTTCCAATGCATTTTCTCTGAAATGGGACTTCCCAGTGATTGAAAGGAAATTTTTTGATGTGGTAAGGTCTTTCTTTAATTTCTTCAGTCTATAAGTTAGATGGTTCTTTAGATCCTTTTGGGAGTTCTTCTGAGTTAGATATTTAAACATGAGTAGAGTTCTTAAGAGTGCAGATCATTCTATCTCCAAGGACAGGGGTTGTCTTCTTGAGCTTAGAGAAAGTGTGGATGGGGGCTCTCACAAAAATTGCCCATCTCTAAAGGCATTGAAGCAGATGGGTGGTCAAAGTTCCTATTGGATGTCAACTTTTTTTGTGATAGAGTATAGAAGAAACATAAAGCAAGGGCTTGCAGATCCATGCTGATTGGATGAAGAGGCAAAGTTGCTCCCTTAGCTTGGCTAACCAATTCTTTTGATAGTTTGGAGTGTGTTCTCTCATGCCCTTGCTGCAAACACCGGCTATTTGTTTGATTTTCAGTGTAGGAAGAGAATAATAGCATCACAAATCCAAAGGGAGACAGGTTGTATCTCACAATCGTTTCTTTCCTGGGAGTAGTTAGGATAGCTTTGGTGGTTTTGAATTTCAAAAGAACAGGAAGGAAGACCCTAACCTGAAAGTACTTGGGCTGAAGGCTTGTTTTGTCAGGTTCAATTCAACTTAGCCTAAGGCCTCCACTCTTGAGATAGGTAAATGGGTTGCTGATCTAAGGTGTTTGAAACCAAAAAGGTCCAGCCACAAGTTAAACTCAGTTTCGTTTCTTTCCTGTGCTTGATGCTTTACTGGTTTTTTCTTTAGAAAAAATTTGTTTCTTGACTTACGCACCAATAGCATTGGTTCCAAGGATTGATGAGGGATTTTATTTATTTTCTGTATTATGGTTGCTGTATGAAATGGGTAAGATTTTTAGCCTGTCTGATTTTGACAATGTCTAGTATTGCATTCTCATTTGTATGTTTATTCCCAGTAGATTTTAGTAATTCGTGAAAAACATTGTAACTTATTTCTTTTCCTTCTGATTATGAAATTCTAACTGCAATTATTTTCGGTACAGCCTCTTCCGCCTCAGGAGGAGATGGAATTGAAAGAGACACTACAAGATATAATTGGACAGGGGAAGACAGTTAAGCTTGAACAGAAGGTACACTAAATAATCCGTTTTTTCTATTATTTTGATGCACAACTCTGCCGCTGTTAAGAAAATTTTGATTGTTGCTTCTTTGCACCAGATTGATCCTAGTATGCACAATTATCCAATTTTCTACTATTTTGATGCATAAGCTGTTCTCCAAGAGTAAAACTTAAATATCGTTTCTTGTACCAGATAGATCCTAGTATTCTTGGTGGCCTTGTGATAGAATTTGGGCAGAAGGTCTTCGACATGTCTATTAAGACAAGGGCAAAACAGATGGAGAGGTTTGTTCGTGAGCCTGCCAACCTTGGTAGCTTATGAATTATGTGACACATTCCGGCACCTTTGTTGCATGCCACTTGTTCTGCTCCAATTTGAGTGTGCAGAGGAAGGTGAAAGAATTGTTAATGTTATCATCTGGTTCTGTTTTATGGTAGTCTGCCTTCACATAAGATGGAATGCATCCATTTATCAAATAAGAAAAAACTTTCTGTATTAGCATTTCTCTAGGCCCAAATCTG